CCACCTCCAGCCACTCTTATTGAGCTGGAAACTGCTCTGCAAGAAGAATGGCGATTGCATAATTCTGCGGTGGTTGACCACCTAATTGAAAGCATGGTCAGAAGATGTAACCCCCCCACTACACCCCCATTCATTTGCAAGATCTCCAAACTCGTTTAGCAAGCAGCTGAATGAATTTTGATTTCTTACTAGTTCCAGTCTACTCAGGAGATTACTCAACAGAATACCAACATTTCGTAGGTCATTTTTTTTAATGCTGTAGGTTTATAGAAATAGGGTCTATGATTTCACACAACCAAGAAAAAAAAATGGTCACAAGTATTTCATAAAATCATACCTCTCTAGTATAGTAATTATAGCTTTATATTTATCACATTTAGTTGAAATTAAGAGAAGTTTACACAAAATGCTTTCATTATTCCTGAGTAATTTTTTCTAATTACGAATAAGGTGTCATTTCATGGTGACCATCCATTTTGTACAAATCTAGCAAATAATTTTTAAAATATTGATCAAAACATGGATTAAAACTTAATTATTACATGACATGAATAATTGTTCAGTTAAATATTTTTAAAATTATAAATGAAGAGCTTGCTAAATTAAAACAGTTATAAAAATAAAAAGTTTCTCTGCTTTAAAAAAGTTAAAACTGTAATACATTTCTGAAGGCAGTTTAGTTTCTCAAAACGTTATTACAGGATGAGAACGTTTATTGGATTTCAGCATAGCAGCATAACATAGATGTTTACATTGAAAATAGCGATTTCTACTTATCTTACACAGTATTAACAAATCCGTTATATGCAAGAAGGGGTGAATAATTTAAAATTATTATTTCAAATAAAATTAATTTATTATCTTATGTGTTGAGGCAATATCTATGAGTTCCCCATTTTATTTTAATTATTTACAGAAACATGCATAAATGTGAAGTTCATGATAAAAGTATACAATTTTTAAACTAAGTTCTAGTTTCATAAAACATGACTTAAAAGAACGTATAACTCCTTTTTTACAATACAAATATATTATCTAGAGCCCAGTGGCTGAGTGGTAGCGTACCGCTCCTCCACGCCACAAGTCCGGGATTCAAACCCCCGGTTATGCAAGGTCGACTCAGCTTTTCATCCCTTCAGTGGGTCAATAAACGAATACCAAGCTTGCTTGGGAACTAAACACTGAGAGGTTCACGACAGATTGACCACCTGACAGGAATATTTGATCATGCTCCTCAGAGCCCAAGATCATGAAAATCGAAAAGGGCACAGGAGGCCTTGGCCCTCTATGGGCTGTTGCACCACTGAGTTTGGTTTAATATGCTATCTATTTCGCATGGGTTTACAAGGAATTTCATATAACGTAAAAATAAAGTCATATGAACTATATGATGTGATATGAACTGTATTGTACAGCATAAGGAAAAATGGGGGGAAAAAATCTTACCATTACAATCCAAATAAGTCAGATTTGTTGACTGTAGGAAAAAAAGCTACAATTTTTGGGCATTTTATGTAATATATATTTTCTTTATTCTAATTTACGGTTAAAAGCACCACTACGATAGGTGATTTCCTATTCTCTCTCATATTTTCAACATTTCACCGTGCAAAGAATCGCAACATATTCAATGGAATTAACAGAGTTAAGAGGACATGGTACGATTTACACAAAAATTTTTAATTAAATGATTTTCATAATTTTTTTGGTTGCTTCCTATGTGTATATATGATGTAAAACAGGTTTTGTGCTCAAAATTTCATAAAAAGCTAACCATTTAATTTTTTTAAAGGAAAAACTTGAAACTTGTGAAGTGATTTTAAAATGCTGCTCCCCCTACAAAAATTGACATACATATATGAAATTTAATTGACGTCAAACTATGTATAACAAAAGTTAGTATGGGTTTTGTGATAACATGATTGGAATTCGTACAATACTTCTTTTTATGAAGGCTTATTGAAAATTCCTTAAAAAAGGTATAAATTCTAATTATTTTTAAAAAAATAAGTACTGCTTTGATTGAAAAATGCATACCAACTTTTGTTCCATGTACTATTTACAACAAGTGAAAAAAATTGCCAAGTATTCAGCACAATAGAAAAAAAGCCTTAGCTTTTTAAATTAAAAACTAGTTGTTTTATCTTTTTGAGATAAGTCAGCAAAAAGTTTCGATTTGCCATTGGAATGTGAATAAAAACCCATCATAAAAGTTACCATAACTCTGCATTTTTTAAACTTAGAGCCTTCAAATTTTGTGAGTTTGTAGAAAAGTATATAAAATATAATTTAGAGTAAAAAAATTAGATTTGATTTTTTGACCGATTTTTGTCAATTGAATCGTACTGTGTCCTCTTAAAGAAAATAAACTTTAAAACCTCCTATTTTTTGTGAGGCTGTTAGAATGACTACTTACGGAAAACGTATTTTGGCCACAGAATTTCTCATCACGGGGCAATTCAATAGTAATTGGGATGATGACAAAGGACTTCTGGTGCCTTTCTCCATTTTTGGCCGAAAAATGGCATAGAAATAATTTTTTCACGCAAGAACATTCGTAAAATAATTTTAGATGTGCATTCTAATTCAACTGATACTGTTGTGAATTTTACGGCCCGGGGGGTTCTGAGTGGGTGTGTCGTAGCTGTCACCACGCTCTGACCCCACGTGGTCTATCTTGACGCAAACCAAATGTAACGGATTCTGCCTCAGTGTTCATCTGGAACTTGATTTCAGCGTTACTAGGTGCTGTTGTTTATCTCGGATATTTTGTGTCAATCTTGAACTTGGCTTCGGCATAACTAGATGTGCCGTTGTTTATTAGGATTTTTATCTCGAATATTAGATATTTCAGTCTAATAGTTTAACTTGGTCATTTTTAATTTGTTGAAGATTATTAAGTTTTGTTTTAGTTAAATTTATTATTGTTACCAATAAATCCAGGAAAAGACAAACCTTGATCTCCAGAATTATTTGAATAACACACACACACAAGCTCCAGTATCAGTATTAATATTATTATCATTTTTTCAGATACTAAATATATATATATATATAAAATATCCATTTGAATACCTTTTCAAAATCATGGCTCCAAACGCAGTCAGTCACCTTATACACATTTTGGTGAATATTATTAACTATGGAATAAAAAACTAAAATTATTCGATTTAATATTGCTATGTTAATTTCGAAATAGTAACTAAAACTTTTCCCAGACTGCTTAAATGGTAAGTAAACATGCTTTTATTGTTTTCTGTGTTTTTCAATTCCTACTATTAGTTCGCAATCTTTCTCTCTCTCTCTCTATAGATCTTGTTCAAATTTGTAATCGTTAATAAAATACTTTCTATTTATCCATTCAAGTTCAAATACATTTTTTAAAATTTATAGTGGAGGACACTTAATGTGCTAATACAACTTTTGAAATATTAATTCAGAAGTTAAATCTAATTAATGATTAAAAAGTAGCAAAAATAATAGTCCAACACCATATATAAAAAGGAAAAT